ATAAAATCTCACCGAGTTCTACCACACACCACCTGGAATTCGACTTAACCATATTCCTAGAACCCTCTAGCCCCATATAGGAAATGCCAACTTAGCTTCTGGCAAGCGCACTCTAAAAAATTGGGGTAGTTTCCAACTTATACAAACCCAAAGGCCTGAAGTGGTATCCAAGCCAGAGTGCCTAAACCACCTTTAGCTATACCTACATTATCCTTATTTCATTAATCTAATTGTATTCAGTGTCTCCTACGAGTACTACATATCTGGTGGACCCCAAAAGTGAACAGCCTTTAAACTTTTTGTCATTCTCATACTGTTTCAAAGCAGAACTTGTCCTTTCGGTCTCATTTTCTTTTCTGGCCTGGAGAAATGTCACAACTGGTGTTCTTCTTGGACTTATTGTTTCCAAAACCAGATGTAGAGTTGTCCAAATCAAGTCCACAAGATTCTTGAAAGCTACAGTTTCTCACAGCAAATCCTGTAACTTTTACGCCACAACTCAGCCTATTTGCAATTCTGCAAACCTGAAGCAAATCTGAACACTTTGTTCACACTAAAGTAGAATGTATGTCTGAAATAAAATAAAAATAAAAAATAAAAAATGACTGAGAGACATGCTAGCATAGAAACAAGGTACCAAAGTTTCCAAAATCAATCACAAGCCATCCAACCGGTGTTTGCTGGAAAGAATTTCTCCAAGTCCTTCTACAAAAGTTCCCATGAACTAATCACTAGTCATGCTTTATCCAACCTTTGCCACCAAACCTTCCAACTTGCAAGTCACAAATCAGTCAAGGCAGAAACATCCTCCTTCACCACATCAAACATGAGATCAACTCAATCAGTCAAGGCACCACTGTCCACTACAATGGAGAATGGACATAGCATAATCCAGGATGGTATCCACGGACAATTTCTGTAAATCTTTGATTGCATTATCTAACCATGAATTAGCAAAAAAAAAAAAGTGCCATTGTTGGGCTATCTGTTGTGCACTAAAAATCTCTCAATCCTTTGCTCTTACAAAGTCATGCAACAAAGAAGCCGACAATTAGCCAGCCTTACCACAGCTGCAGTGTAATCATGACCTACAAAGACGATTTTATATACCACCACAGGGGCTAAATCTGTGTTTGTTTTCTCCACCCTGTACAACTTGATTTTCACTCAAACTAGTCAGCCTATCCAACTCCAAAAACACGAATTTACATGAATCATTCAGTTGCTCTATGTCGCAACTCAAGCGTCTAAATATATTTTGCAAAACCAATACTGTTTAACGTAGCCCAAGCTCAATACATTAGCGTATTTTGGCACTTCAAACCCGAAATACCTAGCCTGCATTAGCTCCCTAGCTACAAGGCCTTACAGACACTCCCAGAGCATTTCACTGAACCCCAATATAAGAAACAGTAGATCATGTCCTTGCACCCAACGCAGAATATATGTCTTAGGAAGAATATACACCATGGTTGCACCCTGCAACTAGCGCCTACAACTTGATCCAAAGCCCATGGTTGAATATCAGTTCAGGCCGTCATGCACACAAACACTAACTGATGTTCAGACTATGACCTACTCTAGTCAGCCAATGCTGCAAGGTATCAACCACATCTAATGCAGTCACATATTACCATGCCTAAGGCAAGCATACTTAGTGCACTTGCTGCAGCATACAGTACTATAACTAGTCTTATAAGGGAAAAATTCAATTCTAAAATGTGAATAGGTAATCCTTTTATGTATTGCCTATATTGTACACATTAAATGTTGACTTTCATTTGTAGATCATTGTATAAACATCCTGCAAATCTGCTGCTAGACACCAATTTCCAAGGCACCACAATCAGTGGCATGGAAGTAGGGTCTTGGAAATGGAGATAGGAAGAGTACTACTCTCATTTGAATTAGTGTTGTGGAAATTCTTATGCCCCAATTGCAAACCAGGAAATCCAAGGCTAGAACTATGGCTGAGGTTAGCAATGCAAGTCAGAATGGAATACGCACTATGAAGTTCATTGCAATTGAATTGAGCAAACATCCACGTACAAACACAAATGTTTCTAAGAAATTTTTTTATAGTATATGGGGGCAATTTCATTTAATTTTACTGCAAGGACTGTATAAATGATATAGAACACACGAATATGCATACCTGACTATCAGGTTATGCAACTTACATTCCTTTTTTTTTTTTAAATGCGAACAACAAGAGAAAGGAAGGAATCACGGGAACCAACCTCTCCAGTAGGATCGAATCCCCCAAGGTATCTAATAATGGCCTCTTGCTTCTCGAAGGCATCAGCAAATGTAGCCTCACTACTCCTCCCCACTATATATTGCTTCAAAGTCCCCATCTTCCTCGCTTTGCTCAACTCCTCCGCAAACCCTATTAATATTTACAAACCAACCACACACACAACCCATAGAAAAGGAAAATGGAAAGGAAGAAGAAAGTCCCACATAAATATCAATTTGAATGTATTAACACCAATACGCGTGTCTTACAAGTATGTACAAGAATAAGAAGTGAGAGTGGGAAAGACATACGGAGCAAGGTGAATGACTCTGCCGTGGGGGTGGCCGTATCGGAAGCAGTCTTTTGGCCAGTGAAGACGCCTTTGACCTTCTCCATCCATGAGGAGTTGAGAGGTGACGTTGACGATATCCAACGGTGTTTTGATGGAATGTGGTGACTGACGGCTGAGCCTCTAAACAAGAACACAACCCGCCGCGAAAGCAGCATTTGTATAGACTATAGATACATATATATTAAGTATCGATTTGGTACTAGTAATAAACCTATCTGGTTTTGAGCACCCGAGGCGGCGGCCGAAGATTGTGAAAATGAATCAGATTCCGATTTGTATAGTTGTGTGCTGCGACGGCGCGGCGGATCCTTTTAACAATTAACTTGAACTTCGAAGTTATAAGTAATTTTTCATTTTGGTCGTATTTTTTTTTTTTTGTATCAAAGGAACATAACTTCAAAATAAATCAATTGATTTTTTATATAATTTCGTAAATATTTCTTTTAAAAAGAGTTGCCACTTGTAACAGTTAAATCATTCTTGTACATAAAGGATTCGTCTGGTTAAACTTCTGCTTTTGTTCCCATAAAATTTATGGATATCAAACAAGAACTTCCGTATTCAAATATGTTCAAAACAACTTTTTAATCTCAAAAGTAGTTTCCAAGTCTTCAAAATCTTGTTAAACGGACCATAAGTTGAGCAAGTTTATTCTTGCTCATGTCACCGTAGATGTGTAGTCGTTTCTTGTACTTTTTACGATATTGTTATCAGAACTCTGTGACGATTTTCTCTTCTATTTTGTCAAGATAACAATGATTTGCTATTTTAATTATATTGACAACTACTACTACATAGAGAAACAATCATATAGCAAAGAATTGCAAAGAACCAAATCCTTAAGGCAAGACATTGGTGAACGATAAACTTGAAGATCATCGTGAAAGTATATCTTAAGAACATTTACTGATTAGCTCGAAATAGAAGGTGAATATAGCGAAACTAAATGCAATGATTGGTACTTGCCCCTCATAACACTTCTGATTAGCTCACATTGAGCAGGGCTCACCCTCTCAAAAACACAGGGCAAGTCCCACTGGCTTGCAAATACTGATGGTGCATACAACTTTCTGGTTCTGTGTGAAGCTAATTACAGAATGAGGTAGTTCCTAGATGAGTGTCCAAGGAAGTTGGTTGCATGCTACAAATTAGAGCAAGAAGTCCACAAATGATTCTCTTTTACATGTTTTAAGCCTTGAATCGCCTGAACTCAAACCAGATCTCATAGTGGTTGAAAAGCAAACTATCATGCGTGTGCTTTTTAAGATATTCAAGCCCTAGATGATTTAGCCTTTTCGTGCATTCTTCTCCTCCCAACCGTGAACAAAACTTTATATTATGTGAAACAAAAATCCGACCTTCTAAAGGTTTCAGTCTGCCTGCTAACTTCTCTAATCCAATCCAAACAAGCTTGTCGGGCATATGAAGAAACACAGCACTTGCATATATCAAACTGTATATGGATCTATCTCCAAACTTACTAAAATTCATATCTTCACCTTTTACAATCAGAGGGCGCTTGTACAACAAGCCTTGGGATGGCAGCTCGTACCTAAGTGCAGCCATCAGAGATAGCTCATCTCTCTCTAAACAATGGAAATGCTCTGGGTTCAAGTATCGTATAAAATGCAAGCCAACACGCAGTGTGCCACATCCAATCTCAAGAACTTTTGAATTCGGTGTTAGATGGGCAGACTCTGCAAGAAACTCAAATACATCTCGTCCCCCTGCCCAGGGCTCTCCATAATTGCTATGGTGTTCTTCTACAAGTAGTTCACCTGGACAAGGCAGAGCAGTGTGGTTGTTAGCTTCTTCTCCTTCGTAGTGTGATATGCCTTTAAACCTGAAAATATGGTAAAACTTGTTTATAATTACTTTAGTTCAGCAGTAAGCACTGACAAGTAAGAGTGAGAAAAATAAGAGAAGGATTAAAGATTTTAAAAAAATAAAAATAAAAATGAACAATGGATTCCTCTAGATATTGCCCTTTCCATGTTTCCCCATGTTTCCCTAGCTGTGCAATTTGGAAACCAGTTGAAGTTGCAGTAATTTTCTGTAACCAACTTTTATCTTACTGCATTATAGTAGAAACTGAAACCACATAGCAGATCATGCAGTCCTTGGACCACATTTGATAGAATTATCCCGACCACATAAGAGCATATCCAGGAAAAAGATTTTTAAGTTATATCAATACTAAAAGGTTGAACCCCAACCTTGAGGGCCCCCTACTGTCCCGCCCCTGGAGCATTGTGGATGAGGTAAATCGCGGGATGTACATCAACGGACCAGGATACAAGAGATGTCATACTAGTACCCATAAAGAGTCAAATTACATACCTTGTAAGAGACAGGAATAAAACACTCACACTACGGCTGTCAACTCAACTGAAACTACCTCACTCATGTTCTTTGCACCACTGAGCTATGCCCCGGGGGGCAAGTTATATCAATATTGTTTAGGAGTTAAGTACGATCAGATGATGTTATCAATTGAAAATTGTTTTATTTACCTATCAAAAGAAAAATTGTTTTATTCATTTGAAGAGTACTAATTTATTCAATCATAGTCCAGTACAAGGAGAGCACATACAACTAAACTAAAGCAGTATGGTCACATGCCATTAGTCTAGAGCACTAGCAAGCACTTCTACACCCAAAAAACTCATCTCTTCAATGTATCAATTATAGTGTGGTGGCAATTATAGTGTGGTGGCAGAGAGAGCATTGTGGACTCCACAATTACTCTAGTACCAAAAACTATCAACATTAGATTTCCTTCCAATTTCATTTTCTTTAATGAATACCTAGGATTGTCATCATCAGTAGAACCTCCACCTCATACCATACGAAATATAATTTTGAAGTAAAGATGCCTACATAATGGTTGATATTCCTGGCATATCACAAGTTAGAAGAGATGCAATGAACGTGATCCATTTACATAAACTCATAATCTTGTTTTCTTCTTCCTTCTATGTATATTAAGAGATTCTCCACAAAATTGACGGTGTTCATAGCATATCATCAAAACAGGACGCTTAATTTCCATAATGCTTAATGATTTTACATGAACAAAATCACATTGTAGAATTTGCCAGATGGATTGCTGGAAGAGTATCTTTTCCACCGAAAATGAGCAGAGATAAAGACCAGAAATTCATTAACTAATTTGGCATCTGAAATGCAAGATCTTATTTTAATGCAACTGATTTTGTTTAAACTGAATTAAAGAATCAGTAATTTCCGGAGGTGCAGCAAATGGCTAAATCTTCAGAAACAAGATGAAATGGAGACTAGTAATAACAAAGAACAATAAACATTACTAGAAATGCTAACGAAGTTTTTCCTTAACTGGCTTTTTCACGTTCAATTGTTCTTTTCTTTGATTAATTCCAAAAGACTTGTAGTCTAGAACTTCGTTTTCTGTCATCATCAAAGTATTTGTTTGTGCGTGAGGGTCGAAGGGGAGAGGAATTGTCTTACTGCTGGAGATCTTGCAGCTGCTGTTGTCGAGTGCGAGGATTAATGCCTTTACGCAGCACATTCAGTTGCATATGCAACCCATTGGCTTCGATCTGACTCTTCACCCATTCTATATCTTCTGCTGAAGCCGAGATCCGATCTCCAAATCTTACATTATTACTGTCGGCGGCGGAGCTACCGGTGCGGGTGGAGGAGGAGGGGGGAATAGGGCAAGTACACGGCGGAGGGGAGAAAGATAGGGAGGAGAGGAGGAAGAATAGGAAAATTGTGGCGGTAGCAACAGATAGTACGAGAACTGGGACTGAAATCACCACTCCCCTCGATGGAAGCAGTGCCATTTGATAGTTTATTCCCAGGATCGACGCTTAGATTTGAGTTTTGTTTCTTTGAACATGGAAATGGACATTGAGCAGAGGATTTTTAAAAAGTTCATAATTAATTTTAACCAAAATTCACCACTTTTTAATTATACATTTAATTAATTTTTATTAAAAAATTTACTAAAAATCTTATTTTAATTTTCATCTCACGGGGGCTAATAAATAAAGGAAAATAGCATTATCGATTCTCAACTGTCTTTTTATTACGAGATAACTATTTAGCTATAGTTAGTAATAACTTTAAATTATGTTTTATAAAGTTTGGATAAATAGTACTGAACTATATGCGCCTTTGACCTTTGAACCTTTTGACGATGGATCTCGAACATTTGATTTCTAACATTCAAAATCTCAAATCAAGTGCTGAAATTTGAAAGCTTTGTAATTTTTAAGTATTAGAAATCAAAGGGTTCGGATTCCATCGTCAAAATGTTCAAAGCTTAGGGACCATCAATGCTATTTACCCTATTAAGTTCGATGGTCATGATAAAATAAATTAAAGTTCGATTGTGAGGGTGGAATCTTGGGTATGTGGGTAGGGGAATGACTATGTTTCCTTTTTCTTGTTGTATCCATTTATTTTTACTTTTTTTTAGAATTTAAGGTTAAGTTTATCTTTGGGATTATTGCAATTGAGGTCTTAAATCTTTCAAACAGTGGTGAAATTTTCTCTAACCTTTCGATCCTTGCAGTTGTCACCTCGAACCTTTCGAATCGTAACAGCAAAGATCCCAATGGACGGTTTCCATCCAATATGTCGTTTAGTTGATCCAAAAAATTAATTTTGACGACATTTTAATCAATTTAAAATAGCAAAACAGTAATTTAATATTCTTCCATAAAATAATTAAAATTAAAAACTTAAATCAAAAACCAAAAAAAGGAAAAACTATCTTCTTCGTCAACCCCACCCCCGACCGCCTCAACCCGAAACTAGAAATTTTGCCCCTATTCGGAGAAAATACCAGACCATAAGTCTCAACCCATTTGGCAAAAGTTTTGTGGGGTTTCTTCTCTTTCAGCTACAACAGATTTCCAATCACTGGTACCTCTGCAATCAATTCACCATTTTATTTCAATCTCATTTTGATACAAATAAAAAGTAAGATCAGAAGGGACTTCAAAGCTCAAAAGTCCATAATGTTTGACTATGTCCCTCAAAAAGATGAGAAAGGGGGAAACTTTTTACAGTGCCGAACAGGGAATGAGAGGAATCATGTACAGTTAAAGAGAAAAGGAAGGACCTGGTGGAAGTGTTAGGCTTGTAGATCTCCTCTTTTGATCGTTTATATAAGTTTTTTTAAAAAAAAGGTTATGCCGACAAGAGCCACCACCAAACTACCCACTGTGCTTTTTGCTTGCTTTGGGTACAACTCCGGAAGAGTGGGGTGGGGGTTGATGAAAAAGATATTTTTTATTTTTTTGGTTTTTGATTTAAGTTTTTAATTTTATTTATTTTATGGGAAAAATATTAAATTACTGTTTTACCCTTTTAGAATTATTAAAATGTAGTCAAAATTAATTTTTTGGGTCAACTAATGACATATTGGGCGGAAGCCGTCCATTGGGCTTCAGCTATTACGATTTGAAAGATTTGGAGTGACGGCTGCAATGATTGAAAGGTTAGAGAAAGATCTGCCACTGTTTGAAAGATTTGGGGCCTCAGTTGCAATTATCCCTTTATCTTTTTATCCAACTCAATGATTTTCTTACAAGATCTTGTGAACAGAGATTAAAATATATTTAAAAGAAATTAGAGTTAAAATGCAAAGGTGATAGTAGTTTGCAAGCAAATATTTTTATTTATGAGTGAACAAAGTTCAAGAAGTGATATGATTCATTCAGGACAAGTTGTTTATTGGGAGAAACTTTTTTCTAAGGTGCTTGAATGTTTAGCTCTTTTTGCACTCGAGTCTTCAAACTCTTCTTTTTTTTTCTTTCTTTCTCTTTTTTTTTAATCGATTTTTTACCTTTAATTTAGAATCTTCAAATGCATGGAAAATAAGTTATAATAAGTGTGTTTCACACACTTATATGGCCCTTAAATATACTTAATATTTGATTTTTGAGCAAAATTTTACTTAATTTAGTACGTACATTATTTTTATAGGTGAATCGAGCATAAAGAAAGAATTGTAGCTAAAGGGATGAAATTGAAGAGCTACCGAGAAGTTTGGACTTGATTGGAAGCTTTGAAAGTCGTAACCGGATGAATCCACAAGTTTTAGGAATAAATTCTACGTTCGGAGACTCTGAGGATCAACTCGAATATTTTCAAAACTTTGGCGGACCAATTTCGAAGATATTAAAAGTTAGAGGACTGCTGTGGGTACAATCGAAAGTTCAAGGTCCTAATTGACATGCTTGGAAGATTAGGGACTGCAAATATTGTACAAAGCATAGAAGCTAATGGGCAAAATAGCAAAATTTGCTAGATGTACAGAAAGAAACTCACGTAACTTTCCCAGAATACACACATTTGTGGGTCCAGCGCATTTTTTTCACAATACATGTAGGGCCGCACAAATGTGTGTATTATGGTGCAATTCTGGTGGGCTTCTTTCGGTACATGGGGGGATAAACAAGCTGGAAACAAGAAGGGGGCGACGACCCCATAGCTCCACCACTGGGGATAAAAATTGGTCGTAGGTGGACCCCTGTGCCGCAGTCTCCCGCGCATTAGCATTGAGCTTTCACTCATCTTTTCCGACCAGTGGAAGATTTTGGTTTTTTGAACTTAAAAGTAAGGACACTTTGAATATTTGATTGGCACGACTATCAGGACACCTTGCCTGCAATATAAAGAGCAGACATAGGTCAAGAAAAGGAGGATTCCATACCACAAAATAGAGAACCATAGAAGAAGATTTCCATATTAAAAACATCAAATTCTTGACAGCAAAATTACAAGAAATTTTTGGAGGTTTTGATCATTTTGAAAAAGAAGACTGTTTTGTCAAGGATCGTCGAAGAGATTCAAGATTGGAAAATGATTATTGTACATAACTATGTACATAGTTTTTTTACATAACGATGATGTGTCAAAATGTAAGTGAAGAAGATTAATGAGATTTTGATCCAATTAAAAATCTCATCACATCATCTATTAATAAATTATTATGCTCCTGTTTGGCACCCATTTTTTTCTCATTCACATTCTCTTTTTTCATTTCAACCACACAATCTCCAAATAAAATAATATTACACACAAATTTAAAACTTTTCATCACTTTTCCACCACACATTCTTTCATCAATCACTATTACAAAATTTTTCAACCCATTAAAATGGGTGTCAAACACTCTCTATGTAAATTGTTATGTACATGTAGCACAACCCTTCAAAATTAAAGACTGTATAAGTTTTTATTCTAAATTATTCGGGTTATGCTTTCGATATTTATCTTATATTTTTGTGATCAAGACATGATAGATTAAACTCTTTGTGGGTAGTGTTCCGAAGAAGTCTCATAAACTCTTAGATTAATTAATTGCTCATTTTTAGTTTAATTCTCATTTTTCATGTTAATTGCTTATTATTCTCCTACTTTTTAGTGATTGGTCATCATTAGAACGTGTTTTTAATTCATATTGGTTTCGAGAGATTCGATGTAAATCAGTACATGACAGCAAACAACATAGAATCCTATAATAAGTAAAGATATCATTATGCTTCACGAAATTGTTATGCGATGATCTTTGTGAATTAATGCATTTTTATACGTTCGTAAGTTAATTAAAGATAATTTCACGTATAAGTATATTATCGATTGACCTCAAGAGATATTATTCAATAATTGGATCATTGATTTTCACCATATACAAGAATTAATTATCAACGAAAAATTTACGATTAAAGTATAGTTAAAATCTAAACCAAATTATTGATTTTTGCCCTATTGTCTATTGTGATTTGATTAATTTCAGGACTTTGTTTACTTAATTGTAATGGCATACTTTAGTGGATATGGTTAAAATCAAAATCAAATAATTGATTGTTCGTGTCAAATTAGAGGTTGTTCTAATTAAAGTAAAATATGTAGATAATGAGTCATCTGAATTCGACACTTTACTCATCATTATATTATTTGTTAATGATATGTGCACTTACAAAATAAAATCGACAACAAAACCCCCATTTAAAATAGGCATCATCATCTTTCTCTTTGGCCAAGTTCCCTTTCAAGCTCAAAGATTTCTCAATAGGTACTTGATGATGGCCGTATGTACTAAATAAACGGGTGTTCTCGAAAAAAGTATGATCTCACAAAACGAATATGAGAAGATAGATTGAAGTAATAGATATGTGGAAGCTTACTCTTACTACAAACTTCATTTATTCTACATAAAGATGTCTTTTGAAGTGTCGGAGACCAAGTAGGAAGGAGATCGAGAAAATCATAGACGAAGATGATTCTCCTTAGAGCCTATTTGAGCCTCATTAAAAGGGTGTTTGGCACCAATTAATTTTTTTTAAAATTTTTTCTCATTATAACCACACATTCTCCAAATAAAATAATATTACACATAAATTCAAAAGGGTGTTTGGAGGGGATTAAAATTAGATTTTTAGTAGATTGTGATAGAAGTTTTTGAAATGTGTGGTTGAAAAGTTGTGAAACCCATGAAAGATGTGGTTAATATTGATTGTTTGACTTTGATTTGGAATAAAATCAAATTTTAATCTGGACCAAACATAGGCTAAAACTTTTCATTACTTTTCAATCACACATTCTTCCATCAATCACTATTCCAAAATTTATAATTTTCCAAAAATGTGTTCCAAACACATGGTAAAAGGCTAAAAATGTATTTTAGAATGGTAAATTGATGGAGAATATGTAATAAGAAAATTTTTGAATTTGAGTGTAATATTATTTTATTGAGAAATGTGTGGTTGAAAAAAAAGATAGAAAAAATATATTTTGAAAAAAATGGAGATCGACCAAAAGCATCACA